GAACAGCCACCAGTGGAAAACTTATTTGAACAAATAATAAAGGAGAATTTTCCCAATCTGGCAAAGGAAATAGACTTCCAGGAAATCCAGGAAGCTCAGAGAGTCCCAAAGAAGTTGGACCCAAGGAGGAACGCACCAAGGCACATCATCATTATATTAGCCAAGATTAAAATGAAGGAGAGAATCCTAGAAGCAGCAAGAGATAAGGGGACAGTCGCTTACAAAGGAGTTCCCACCACACTGTCAGTGGATTTCTTAAAAGAGACCTTACAGGCAAGAAGGGGCTGGAAAGAGGTATTCCAAGTCATGAAATCCAAAGACCTACAACCAAGATTACTCTATCCAGCAAAACTTTCGTTTAGAATGGAAGGACAGATAAAGTGCTTCTCAGGTAAGATCAAATTCAAGGAGTTCATCATCACCAAGCCCTTATTATATGAAATGTTAAAGGGACTTATCTAAGAAAAAGATTAGAAAGATGAACGGTGAAAGGACAACAAACTCACAGTAATGAACAACCACACCTAAAACAAAAGCAAACTAAAAGGACAGCTAGATCAGGAGCAGAAACATAGAAATGAATATCACATGGAGGGTTAGCAACAGGAAAGTGGGAGAAGGAGAAGGGGGGAGATGGTACAGAGAACAAGTAGCACAGATGGTAGGTAGAAAATAGATGGGGGGGCAAGAATAGTAGGGGAAATATAGAATCTAAAGAACTTGAGACATGTAGTTCATAAACTAAAGGGGGGGAATGATGGGGGCAGGGGGTGGAGGGGAATGAAGGGGGGAATAGAACAACTGTAATGGCATAATCAAGAAAATCGAATAAAATTTTAAAAAGAGAAAAATAAATTATAGAGCAGCACTATCCAACAGAACGTTCTGCAAAATGAAAACATGCTACATCTGCACACAGTGAGGTAGCACTGGCCACATGTTGCTATTGAGTACTTAAAACATGACTAATGTAAGTAAGAAACAGAATTATTGATTTTACTTATTTCCAATTAACTTAAATAGCCACATACAGCTAATGGCTACTTAATGGACAATGGAGGTATAGATTGTGACAACCAATCTCACTTGGCTCCACATTTTAACACATGATGGGGTCTGGACACATCATAAAGATAATGAGATACATCATAAAGGTGACTAAATGTTGAAAAACAATACCTCTGGGAAAAGCCTCCAAAATAGAATTTTAAAAATATTTATATCTCACTTTGTTCCAGAAGAATTTAACATGACTGGCAAAGACTCAGAGCACAGCAAGAAAAAAATCACTTGTTAAATAAATGTTAAAAAAGAAGATCTGCCCTGGCTGGTGTGGCTCAGTGGATTGAGTGCGGGCCTGGGAACCAGAGGATCACGGTTCAATTCTCGTCAGGGCACATGCCTGGGTTGCAGGCCGGTTCCCGGTAGGGGTCCCAAGAGAGGCAGGCACGCATTGATGTTTCTCTCCCTCTCTCCTTCCCTTCCCCCTCTAAAGATAAATAAAATCTTAAAAAAAAAAAAGAAGATCTGTATATTAAATAAAGGTATAAAACGAACTTAAAATAGGTTTAAAAAAAGATTTGCCTTCTGAGAAGAAATAGTTGAGCAATATCTGAATGCTGGTATTTTATAACCATAAGCATTTTTTATAGATTTAAGTGATTCAGATACTATTCAAGAAGTGGGTTATAGAATATGGGTTTAATACAAAGCACAAATAATTTAGGCTGAGATATTAATGATCCACTTCTATTTAATAAGTTACCCCAAAACTTAGCCAACTAAAACAGTAACATTTAGGGGCCCACACAGGTCTCAGGGTCAGGAGTGTCTGAGTGGAGTGGCCCTGGCTCAGGGTCCACAGGAAGCTGTGCATGTGGCTGAAGGCTGGGACTGACGGGACGGGATCTGCCTGTAAAGTGATTCATCCCACAGCTGCTGGAAGGAGGCCCCCATCCCTCAGCACACGGTACCTCTTTAGAGGGACCCCTGAGTACCCTTACAGCATGGCGGCTGGCTTCATCAGAACAAGGCGGAGAGAGGGCAAAGAGAAAGCTGCAATGCCTCTTACGAATGACCTGATCTCAGAGACAGACACTATCACTTCTGCAGTTTTCTTATTAAAAAGCAAATCACAAGCCCCGACCAGTGTGGCTTACTTGGTTGGGCACCGACACCCCACAAAGCCAAAGTTCACCAATGGTTCAAATTCCCGGTCAGGACGTGTACAAGAGGCAACCGATAAATGTTTCTCATGTCCATGTTACTCTCCCTTTCTTCCTCCCTTCCTCTCTCTCTCTAATAAATAAATAAATATTAAATAAATACATAAATAAATAAAAGTGGATCACTAAATTCAGTCCACCTCCTCTTGAAGGACAAAGTACCAGAGAGTTTGTGGACAAACCACTACAATGAGATATAAGAATTATCTCTCCCTTGAGGGTTGGCTAAAAGTTGTAATGAGAACCTGAGATTCCTTTCCTTGGAAGTTCCAAAATTAGGATTATCATCTTTATAAAATAGCTTCCGCTGCTTTCTACAAGGCAGGAGATTAAACACAACTGGGTTCTTGGTTGCTTACAGCCCAGTTACTTTTAACAGCAGGTGCTAAATAAACAGCATCTATTAGACATAAAACACTGTGCTAAGCATTTAACATTACAGATCCTCACAATAACCGTAGAAAATGGGCAGCATCACTCCCATTTTCAAGACAGGAAAAAAGAAGTGCAGAGGGATGAGCCAGGATTTTTGGCCAGGTCTGCCTGGTTCCCAAGTTACTGTCTTTCCACTACATGACACTTCTATTACTCCATCTACCATAGACCAAAGCTCATTTTCTCGCATCGCCCCTGGGAATAACCACAAAATACACCGTTTCAGCTAATATGCTACCTTTGGTTCCATAAGTTCCTTTCTTACTTCCATCAGTCCATGTTTTGCTTGCCTGGTATTTTCTATTTGCGATTCTGAGGCCTCATTTTGTTTCACATTATGTCCCACCCAGGTCCTGGCACCCCGGCCTACCCTCCCTCTGGGTACATCTGCATTGGAGGGATCCTCTCAGAGCGACTGGACCCTGGTCCAAACCCCATGAGTCCTCTCTGAGAGGCAACGAGTGGTTGTCCAAAGACAGAGAAGCGGTGGCACAACCAGGACCAGAAGCCCGTCCTTCCAAACGCTCATCGAAGGCTCTCTGCCTCACCACCACACGCCTGCATCCCCACCCCGAGACCTGCACATCAGTTCACCTTTCCTGGTCTCCCAACTCTGCCTGGCACAACAACGCTCCAGAGTGGAAAGCAACTTTGTTTCCTCATTCTCCCCGTAATCCATACAACTTGTAAGTATTTTTCATTATTTATCCTGTCTATCCCCACAGACAATGTCCTAATCCAGGCACTTGTCTCTTTCACTTGGGCTTCTGCATCCGCTTCTTAAAAGTCCCCTGGCTTTACCCTCACCCTCTCCAATTCATCCCCCACAGTGGCAGCCAGGCAACTCTGTAATATGCAGACCTTATCATTTCACTCCCTGAGAGAACCTTCTCTAGCTCCCCATTAACTCCTCTCACAAGAGAAGAATAGAGAAGGCCTTGTAAACTGGCTCAGGTCTTGAATTTTTATCCTACAAGTTTCAGAAAGGGATCTGATGTTGGAAAGTCTCCTCTGTACCAGACACCGCGTGATTTCATTTGCTGTCTCAGGAGCCCTGTAGAATCAGCATTGGGTCCCTCCGCACACACTGGTCTTCCTAATGAGCCCTCTCCTCTGGAAGCCATGTGACCAGCACAATCCACGGCCTTTCCCGGCCCATCGGTCTCCCAACAAGCGCATCCACAAGACCCCTGTGCCACCACCTCTTCTTGTCTAAACACCCCCATGACAGTCTGTCTGCACAATTTCCCTAACACGCTTGGAAAAAATCATTTCCTATTCATCTTTGTGCTCATGGCCCCTAGTAAAGGACGTGTTTCACAGCAAGCAGTGAATAAACGCTTGGTGACTAATGACAGGGCCCTTCACGGGAACACATCTCCCAGTTAACGCATTTCCCAAAAAGCCCCTTTCAACGGGCTACGGGGCCTGTCTAGTTGCAGGACAAGAGGACCCCCAGCCCGCGTCTACTGTCTCTTTCTCCTGCACTCTCTGCTCTTCGTGGATGCAGCGTTGGAGGCAGTCTGCTGGCTTCCTGCAGCCGGACTTTCCGCGAAGCGCTTCCCGCGTGCGACACCACCAGCTCCGCTTACTCAGCCCTGTGCGTGCCCGGCCTGGGTGCCAGGGGTCTACGGCAGACTCTCCCTCAGTCCCTCTGAGGGTCCCCCCGGGGAGGTGCCGGTCCACGTCGTTCCCGTTAAACAGAGGCCGAGACCGAGGCCCAGAGCCCGGAACAGAGTCCAGCGAGCACCGGCCCAAGGCACCGCGAACTCGGCAGATTCGCCCGCCGCGTGCCTCGCACTCCCCGCACAGGCCGGAGAACGCGGTTCTGCGTCCGACACGGTTGTCGCACGAGACCGCGGAGGCTTCTGGGAACGGAGCGCGACGCCCGGCCTGGGAGGCCCGAGGCCGCACCCGGGCTCGTCCGGCTGCGGGGGGCCGCGCGGCCCAGTGACGGGCCTTCCCACGCCCCCGCCGGACCGCACGCGCCGACTGCGGGGCCCGTCGTCCGCGCGCGGCCAGCGCCCCGAGCAGCGGCCGGCGCCGCCATCGCCTCCTACTCCACTAACTGAAGCGGCCGACGGCGGCAAGGGGCTCGCCGCTCGCGGTGCCCCTGCGTCCGCACGGCTGCGCGCCGGTCCGGGCGGGTGGGGAGCACGTATCGGCGGCCCGCTGGGACCTCGGAGACCGACGCGGGAGGTTGCGGGCGGCCGCTCTACCGCCCCGGCCCCGGACGGACCGCAGGGACCTCCGCCCCCAGCAGCGCCGGAGAGGGCGGCCCGCTCCCCGCCAGGCCGCACCGCTCCTCCAGCCCGCGCGCTCGCGCCGCGGGGCCGTTACCGATTTTGCTGCTCCTTGAAGAGCGCCGTCAGCGCGCGGAGAGCCTCCAGGTCCTGGATGGGCGCGGGCACCATGACGCCGGACAGCCGGGCGGGCGGCGGCCTGGGCGCCGCCATCTTGCCGATGCCGCGCTTGACGGCGACAGGCAGCAGCGGCCGGACCAGCTGCGGCGGGAGGGGAAGCGCCGGGGGAGGAGCGCTCGGCGCCTGGGGACCCGGCCGCCGTCTCCGCGCCCGGCAGCCCGCGGCCCCGCCCGAGAGCTCGAGGGTCGCGCTGGGATCGCCCGGAGCCGCAGGGACTGCGTCGCCAGGGGAGGGGGCGCAGGCGGAAGTGCAGCCGGAGGGGACGCGGCGCGGGCGGAAATGTGGCCGGAGGGGAGGGGGCGCGGGCGGAGATCCGCGTGAGGCGCGGGGAGGGACGCCCGGAGGGTGTGGGGCCTGAGCGGCGGGAGCCTGAGGCCAAGGTTCGCCTGAGGGGGCGGAATACTTGGCCAGGTTCACCTGAGGGGGAGCGGGGGTACCGGGCCAGGTTCGCCTGAGGGGGAGCGGGGGTACGGGGCCAGGTTCACCTGAGGGGAGAGGGGTACCGGGCCAGGTTCGCCTGAGGGGAGAGGGGTACCGGGCCAGGTTCACCTGAGGGGGGGCGGGGTACCCGGTCAGGTTCGCCTGAGGGGAGAGGGGTACCGGGCCAGGTTCACCTGAGGGGAGAGGGGTACCGGGCCAGGTTCACCTGAGGGGAGAGGGGTACCGGGCCAGGTTCACCTGAGGGGAGAGGGTACCGGGCCAGGTTCGCCTGAGGGGAGAGGGATGCTGGATGGGTTCACCAGAAGAGAAAGGTTGGAGTGGAGACTGGGGCAGGGGAGCGGAGCTGGGCAGAGGCGCCCTCTGAGGAGAAGGCTGGTGACCACGTTCCCGCAGTTGAAGCAACAGGGGCCCCACAGGACCCGCCGGAATCCAGTGCAGCCACCACCCCGCCACCAAGAGATCAGTTGCCGAAGGGTGGCGACCACGCCAGGCACGTCACCCAGGGCGACAGCCTGCTGCTCCAGCTCCTCGGGGCTTCCAGTGCAGCTCAGTCAAGAAGACAAGTTCCTCAGCAGTGGGTGCAAACTGGGCTTTTTCTCAGGAGAACGAACTTTTTTTTGGGGTGTCGGCAACTCTGCCGTTTTCTGTCCGTGCCCTTGATCACGTCGTGAGTACTTCCAACAGGCGTGGTTGCCGAGCCCTGGGCCGGGCGAAGGGCCCGAACGGCTGGGAGCTCGCAGAGGCGAACGTGGCGGAGCACCGAGAAGCACCGTGACCGAGGACATGACGGCGGTGGGGGCGCTTCTGGCGCACAGTGCACGCCCTCGGCCATCTGATGTGAAGAGGGGGACAGTGTTCGGATGTGCTTCTGATGCTCTTCCCTGAATAAAATCGAGGCACAATAAGAAACGCCACTGGAGTACGCAGAGGAAATGAATGGAGCACAAGCACCGTCACTCCGTGTTGTAATGCAGCCGCATCCTTCCAAGCGACTGCGTATTCATTTACAACCATGTCCAAGCATTAGATCGCCTAGCAGTGCCCGAGATAATTCGGAATGCTTAACAATCCTTAGAAAACATTCCCCATAATACTCAAATTTATTGCCTGGATTGTAATACGTTCTGATTGGTTTCTTCGCTTCTCTTACCTGCCTGTATTCTAGATCCTTTACATATGCAAGTCAGATACTTGCAGTGTTTGCTTCCTTACTTCCTTCAACTTACCCACTCAAATGATTTATCAAATGATCTAATGAGTTTCCCTTTTCGGTATTTTTAAAGATTTGATTTATTTATTTGTTTGTTTGTTTATTTATTTTAGAGAGAAGGGAAGGGAAAACATTGATTGGCAGAAACATTGATTGGCTGCCCCTCACACGCCCTTAAACAGGAACCTGGCCTTCAACCCAGGCATGTGCCCTGACTGGGAATTGAACTGGTGACCTTTACTGAAAGGTCAGCCAGTTCTCAGGCTGGGGTTCAACCCACTGAGCCACACCAGCCAGGGCTCCCTTATCAATCTCTAAAATTGTAACATGTCACCCAAATTCCTGATCCTCAGAAATTTTTCTACACAACACTTAACACTTTTTCTATTGTAGTTCTAATTTGTTTATTGTTACTTATTTTGTTTGCTGCCAGGATATATTATGACACCTAGAAAAGGACCTACTGTAGGTAATTGTTCAATAAATATTAATTGAATTAATAAATATTTTAAAAATATTTCAGGACCATGACTCCTTGTGTTTGTCTTTCCAGGAGGCACTGAGCCATGGGTATCTCTCAGGACAACTGGCACAACAGCCACAAGGCTGGAGACGAACAAAAGTATGAGCTGGGACACCCTACTGCCAACACTTAAGATTGGCTCCCACTGCATACACACAAGTCCTCATACAAAGAGGCAGCAAAAAATACCATGTCATGAGGCTGGACATGGGCAACTTCTCCTGAGACTCCACAGGTACATGCGAAACAAGAATTATTAATGTTGTCTACAACGCATCCAACAATGAACTGGTCCACACCAACACCCTAGTAAAGAACTGCATCTTGCTCATTAACAGCACACCATACAGATAATGGAAAAAGTCTCACTATGCACTGCCTCTGGGCTGCAAGATGGAAGCCAGGTTGACTCCTGAGGAGGAAGAGATTCTAAACAAAACACATTCAAAGAAAATTCAGAAGAAATATGATGAAAGGAAAAGGAATGACAAAATCAGCAGTGTCTAGAGGAACAGTTCCAGCAGGGCAAGCTTCCTGCATGCACCATTTCAAGACTGAGCCACTGTGGCCAAGTCGATGGCCATGTGCTGCAGGGCAAGGAGCTAGAGTTCTATCTGAGGAAATCAAGCCCTGGAGGGGTAAATAATTCTCCTTCCTCCTATTTTAGCTCGTGTAATAAGGGTGGTATACTTTCTGTGGGGACAAAAAAAGAAAAAAGAAAGGAAATAACATGCCTCCAGAAGGAGAAGTACAACAATTAAAGAAGTTCAGGAAGGAGGAAGGATGGGAGAGAGTAAGAGAAATAAAAGGAAGATTAACAAAGAGAGACATGAATAGGATAGGCTAGAAATATGGGCAAATATTTCTATTTGTTTCTCCTGAAACAAAAGAATATTAAATTGGCTAAACAGTGGGAGTTATTGACTGCCTGGAATCGACTAGAGAATATTCAACCTTGACTGAATTGACAGAACTAAGTTAATATTTCACTTGGGCTAAAAGGCATTTTTTAACATTACATAATGTTATGTAATTGTTTACTTTAGATCAGTGATTTTCAACTGATGTGCTGCAAGAATTTTAAAACATGCAATACCTGACTACTTAGTCAGGGGTACTGGCCTCTTTTCCCTTACACTGTCAAATAAAAAATTCACAACAGCCAATATAACAATAGCTGTCTGGTGTGAATGAGTCAAAAGTATACCTATTTTTGTCAGATCAGAAAAAAAAAATTTTGGTGTGCTGCAGAGTATTAGTAATTATTTTGTGTGTGCCATGAGATGAGAAAGACTGAAAATCACTGCCTTAGTTAAACATGCCACCATGTTGATGTACCTGAATTAAACTTCAGTTGAAATTTGTGATACAAATTTGTGTCTTGAGCCTAGTACAGAAAAACTGGATCAGCAATGATACAGTAGTCAAGAAGTAAAAATAAATAAAAAGAAAGAAGGAAGGACAAAATGCAAAGCGAGGAAGAAAGTAGGTGAGGTTCAGGCAAAAAGATTTGAAGCAGCCCTGGGTTGTATGTCTCAGTGTATTGAGCTCCAGCCTGTGAACCAAAGAGTCACTGGTTCGATTCCTAGTTAGAGCAATGCCTGGGTTGTGGACCATGTCAGGTCCCCAGTAGGGGGTGTGTGAGGCAACCACACATTAATGTTTCTCTCTCTATCTTTCTTCCTCCCTTCCCCTCTGTCTAAAATAAATAAGTAAAATTTTTTTTAAAAAGATTTGGGCCAAAGGTCACATGGTTTTGGCACAGAAAAGAGAGAGGAAGTAGATACTGGTAAAATGGAAGATGAGTGACAGATGGAGAGAAAAATTCTTGCTTGTGCTTGCTTCCACTATCTCACTTTCTTATTACCATCTCTGCCTTTGGTTTTCTCACTAAAAAGCTTTATGTCATTGCCTCTTACTCCACTAAGGCATAATGCGTCAAGCAGGAAATCCTCTCTCAGCACTGATTTTTCAAAGACAGCCTTGTACTATAATTGTGTTTAGGTACCATCTCCCTTCATCTGAGGTCCTTCGAGGCAGAGATTTTTGTCTTCCTTATTTCATCCTTGTAGTTAGAGTCAAAGTTATAAATATGTGTTGAACTGAAAACTTTGGAGACTGAAAGGGAAAAGAATAGAAGAGTGTAATTGTAAGAGCAGGGACCTGAAAACTACAGCCTGCAAGCCAAGTCTTTCCCACTATCTATTTTTATAAATTGTATTGGAAACTGTCACAGTCATTTATTTACATATTGATTATAGCTTGTTTAATGATATAATGGCAGAATTGAGTAATTGTGACAGAGATTGTGTAGCCCACAAAACCTAAAATACTATTTGATCCTTTGTAGAAAAGGTTTGCCAATCTCTGGTAAAGAGATGAGGTTTGGAATCAGACAAATCCGGATAATGTGAACCCAGTTCTCATCTCCTAGCACCTGACCTTGCACAAACAACCATATCTTTAAGCCTTTCTTTTTAATTTGTAAAATAAAATAGTAATAATACCTACTTAATTGGGCTCAAGGTATAGTTGGTAGTGACTGACAACAGACTGCTGGTATTCAAGGCAGTAATTCTGATCTTCCTAGTTACATTTGCATTATGGGGATCAACAATTCTTATACAGTTTGTGAAGTTAGCAACCTAATTCCCATGATTGCTACCAATCCATTTTAAATTTAATTTTCATGTTTCAATTTAGCCAATATCATGAACTATATTAGAATCTAGTATTACAAAGATGAATAATATAATGCTTCAGCCATCAATCAGCAGTGGGTCTATTAGAATATCCAGAAATATAAACATACACTGATAATAAAATGTAATAATACCAGAAAGGATATACAAGGAGCTAGGGAGCTGGGAGGTGAAGGACTACTAAAGAAGACATATACCTGGCTGGTGTAGCTCAGTGGACTGAGCGGGGGCCTGCGAACTAAGGGATTGAAGTTCGATTCCCAGTCAGGGCACATGCCTGGGTTGCAGGCCAGTTCCCAGCAGGGGATGCACAAGAGGCAGCCATACATTGCTGTTTCTCTCTCTCTCTCTCTCTCTCTCTCTCTCTCTCTCTCTCCTTCCCTTCCCCTCTAAAGATAAATAAAATCTTGAAAAAATATCTGTTAAAAAAAAGACATATAAGCTGGATTTTGAAGGATTAGGTGAG